CCAACCTACATCAGCAAATTTGTGCAGGTGACAGATATTGTATAACTGGCTCAGGTGCAATTATGTCAAACACCATAATAAAACTAATTTTAGAATTTGAAGATGTGAGAAAAAAAACCTTTTTCTCTGCAGAATTTCTATTCCTTAATCCAGGCTCAGCAAACAAATCTATACAGGATGATTAAGATGCACTGCACCATTTGTGGAGAGAGAAACAGAGCTAACTGGAGGATCACTGACCTGAAACATGCGGTGCAATTTTCAATTATTCCAGCTCTAGAAGCAAAAGGGGGCTTGAAGCGATGAGGAAAATCCTTCAAGCTGGGTCCCTGACATGTGTCTGCCTCCACAGGATTATGCAGGAGTCGGGATTACACTGGGAATGGTTACCTACCTGACCATGTGACTATTCAATTTAGTCTCTTGAGGGGAACACACCCTCTTAGGTATTCCTCTTATTTCAGGCAATTGCAGGTGGAGGTGCCCCTTACACCTTCCTTTATTTTTCAGTAACGTCCACTTCTGACAGTGGAGCAGCCAATCTATGATTCTTGGACAGCCTTCTGGTATAACTCTAGATTCAGGAACCCACCCAGCAAACTCACTTGAGTGGGGGTCCTGGAATTTATTTGACCGCTTCCTCTAAAACTGCCTTCCGGGCCTTTTTTTTGTCCATTTGATCATGCCTTGTGGGAGTCACTGACTCAGCCAGAACTTATTGTCTGTTCCTAAGAGTCAACCACATTGCTGTAGGTATGGAGTCATATATAGGCCAGACCATGAACGGCTGGCAGATCGTTTCTTAAGGGATTTCAATAAAACTGATGAGATTTTACAACAATCAACGGTGGTTGCCACTAGGTCAACTTTTTTTAAATTCCAGATATCATTGAATTCAAATTTCACTATCTCCCAAGGTGGGATTCAAATGTGAGTCCACAGATACTAAGACTAGTCCAATGACATTTCCACTACACCACTGCCTTCCTTCTTAGCTATGAACATACAAATTAGGAGCACAAGTAGGCCATTCAGCCCATCACATCTTTGCTGATGCTGGTATTTGTAGTTCCTGTTGGCAGGATGGGATGCATGAATGAAAATCTTGCCCGGTAACTCTGTTTTTCTCCACTGATGCTGTCAGATCTGTTGCATATTTCCAGCATTTTCTGTCTTATTTCAGTGATCCAGCATCTGTAGTATTTTGCTTTAGTTCTGCACAATTGTAATGTTCTCTCCAGTTAAGTTAATTTCAAGGTGTGCTTGCCTCACAGTCAGTTTAATTTACTTCAAATTTCTTTTACATTGAGCAGAAAAGATAGCACAGTGTACGAGTTGGATATTTAAAACTGATTTCAAATTAGACCCTGGAGCATAATGATCTTTCACAAATATATTTGCCAGACACAATGACCAATTTGAAGCAGAGGGTTTCTGGCACATCTGTCAACAAAGATTATAAAGCAAAAATTATCTCCTTCTCCTCACATGCATGTACACCAGGACAGGAGGGGTGGATTGGCTCCCCTCTTTTTAACTCCCTTAGTCAGTTCCAACAAACATTTTAAATTATTTTTAGCACATAGTTATGCCATGTTTTAATTAAAACATAGCATTAGTCAAAATTATGAAGCCAATTACAAACTTCTCTTGAGTGAAATAAAGAGGAATTTTATTACTTACTAAACCCAAGAAAAGTAATGAAACGTGACGTCAAATAAATTTGATTTGTTTATTGTCACATGTATTTTATTACAAAATACTGTAAAAATTCCTGCATGGTTTTGCCACTCTCCAGCACTATCTTAAAACACAGAAAAATAAACCAAAACATTGAATATTAAGGCATAAAAGTAAAAAAAAAAGTTTTCCACTTTACAGTCCCTGTTGTTAAATGCTCCACCATGGGCCATGGGCCTGGTGGCCAGGCAGGAGTCCCTTCACTGTGTTACCGCTGCTGGGATGAAAGTTGCCTCTCTTTGGCGCCATCTCACCTCCACCGATGCCCTTGCCACTATGAGTCGTCACTGGACCTCACCTATGCAGACACCACAGGTGCCACCAGGCACTGTACCTACTCCGGCGTTGCCATATGTCCCCTTCAGGCATGCCATGCCAATGCGGCCACTGCTGATGCCACCAGGTCTTGTGCTGGACCCAAGCTCACCTCCGCTGCCACGTCCATGAATCTGCACCGGTCACAGATGCCGCCTAAACATCGCCCCTGCCGCAGTATCCATGAGTCGGCACTAGGACCGCCTCGTTGATGCAGAAGCTGTCAGAACGGATGGGAGCCCTTGAATGGCAAGCAGGCAGACAGACAAACTGAGAGATGTATCTGCATAAGCTTGAATGCTAGTAGCGGCAGAGTGCAAACAGGACATTGGAACACAGGAACAGAACTAGATTGCCCAGGCCCTTGATTTTATTCTGCCATTCAATTACATCATGGTTGATGTCTCCCATGAGTCCATTTCATCATGTTTGCTCCATATTTCCTGACATACCTAATTCAGAAAAATCTTTTGCTCAACCTTCAAACTTTCAGTAAACCAAAGGCACATCCTTTTGATGTTTAAGTACCAGATTTCCTCTACTCACAGTGAATAGGTTAATCAAAATTTGTCAGTGATCTCTACGGGCACCCATACTGCTTAATCAGAGACCTTTGGGAAATGCCCATGTAAATTGTAATTGTGCAGTGAATTTTATTGCAATACATTCATTATTCACAGTGTATTCGAATAAAGTTAATCTGCTGACCATATGTTTCAGAATCAGTTTCATTTTTTATGGTCGTTCCACGAACATGAAGAGAGAGATCTACTTTATTTACGTTGCCTTTTTGTTCGGCGGAGGCTGGTACTGCAGTGAGGAATCACAGCAAAATCTTTGTTTGCAAATGGTTATGTTCAAACCGAACATGTGGAAACAGAACTTCCTCCCTGAGTGAAATTAGCAAATTGTTCAAATTGTTCATCTTTGCACAGCAGAAATTCCAGGCCCCAGTTCTTTGCTGCTCCTACTGTGGGGCAGTTGCAAGTGACCTGCACTCCTTTCTTCCTCTTTGCCACCCTATTCTCCGCAGCCAATGCCTACCTGGTAGTCATTCACCACCCAATAAAGTAGTGGCCCGTGTACCAGCTCATAGTCCTTTAGCGATGACGAGCATACAAATTAGGAGCAAGAGCCGACCTTGAGCCTGCTCTGCCTTTAAGTTAGATCATGGCTGATCTGACTGTCGCCTCAAATTCACATTCCCACCTATCTGTGTTCAACTTTGACTCCCTTGTTCAAGACAAACTAACTCTGTCTTTAAAGTACTCAATGGCCCTGCCTCTAGTGCTCTCATGCAAAGACAGTTCCATAGAACTTGTACCTTCTGAGAGAAAAAGTCTTGTTATTTCCATCTTTAAATGGAAGACTCCTTGTTTTTAAACTGTGTCCCCTAGATCTAGTCCCTCTCATTATTTCAGGTTGGAACTCTCCTCGTTGGAGTTTAGAAGAATGAGGAGTCATTGAAACATACAGGATTCTGAAGGAGAGTGACACAGTGAATATTGTGAGGATGTTACCTCTCATGGGACAGTCTAGGGTCAGACGGCATTGCCTCAGAATTAAGGGGCTGAGATGAGGAGGAATTTCTTCTCTAAGTCGGTTCAGAATCTTTGGAACTCCTTGCCACTGAGAGCTAGAGTCCTTTTGTATAGTTATGGCTGAGATAGATAAATTCGTGATCATTAGGGGAATCAAGGGTTACAGGGAAAGGGCAGGAAAGTGGATGTGAAGAATATTGGATCAGCCAAGATCCGATTGAGTGGTGGAGTGGGCTTGAGGGGCTGAATGGCCTACTCCTGCTTCTATTCCTTATTGTCTTATGGAAAAATGAATTGCAACAATATACATTGTTGCATTAGGAAATTTTATTTATTCACATTCATTTGAAGGCATCTGGATTTAGCACCTAGAGAACCAGTTGCAGGCAATTCTGCCACTTTCTCATTTGTATTTCCCCCTCTTAATCTGTCATTATTTTGCTAACCTGATATTTACCTTCAGGCATACTTTAAGACGGAGCAGACAGTAGCTGCAACACTGTAACTTCTATCAGTGTACAAGCGAGTAGAGATCTAATTGATTTCCTCATTGGAATGAGGGAACCAAGAGATAATTTATTTTGAGGAGAATCGAACACAAATTATGGACGTTATGCTTCAGTTATACAGGGTATTGGTGAGACCACATTAGATTAAATGAGGTCACAGTTACACACCGATGAAATATGCAAAGAAAAGCAGAGTAATTGGAAAATTCTTACTTCTCATTACACCAATAAAACGACCTTTTATTAAAATAAAGAAAATATCGGCGGCCAAGATTTCTAGCAGGGAATTGGCAAAATTGGGGGGCTAATTTGCTAACAATATGGGGTGGAACCTAAGCTGGCTTCCTGTTCCATACAAGAAACTGCTTCAAAATCAACCTGGGAATTGGGGTTGGCAAGTCCATTGCTTGGCCTCCTTTAGCACCAGCATGTTTTAAGGACATCATCAGGAGAGAGGCATATTTCCACAATTTTAGTCCAATACTATTTTTTCCTAAAGAACCCTACAACATGTTGATTGCAGAAGTTTCATTTCAAGATGAGCACAAGGGTTGAGACTGAGCTACTTAGTTGTCACAACATTCTGATCCATCCTACAAATCAAAATTTATCTCCAGATAAGCATGCTGTTTCACTGCATTCATTTTATTTTATATTTGGAAACAAGTCAGAATAAGGTGGTATCAGATGTTGCTATATGTTGTCTTTTAAATCTCATAGACCCTTCTTAGATCAAGCTTCAAAAGATGAACATCCCAAGATGCAATATCCCTAATACGTCATATAAAATAATCCAGGAGAAGCTTTAAAATTGGAAAACAAAATCTACATTCTAAATCTATATTCCAAAAACAATTTTTTAAGATGTCAAATGAAGTATTTAAATGGCTCATACCTGACAGAGCATTGACTTCAGTCTCCTCTTGTACTTTCTTACTCGCAGCTGTAACAGTCTTGTCCACAAAGGCTCGGCCTAGCAGAGATTGGCTTGTGTTGGCAGATTGATTTGTGGGAGAGCTGTCTACATTGCCTATGTTAAAGAAAACAATTGAAGTCAAATGTTTTCCTTGATGAAGTTTGTGAAAATAACTGGAAAGAAAGTAAATCTTCTAAATGTAAATTCTCTGTAATGTGAACACAGATACATATATTGAAATTAATGTAAGCCACTCATCCCCTTAAACCTGTTCCAACATTCAGTAAGATCATGATTGTTCTGATTAATCCACATTCTCACAAAACTGATAACTTTTCACCTTCTTGATTATTGAGAATCTATCTACATCTGCTTAAAAAATATTCATGGACTCTGCTTCTACTGCCTTTTGAGGAAAACCATTCCAAAGACTCATGACCTTCTTGAGGTAAGTTCTCCAACAAAAAGAATTTCTTTTGCACGTTCGCTTTGTCAAGGTCCTACATGATCTCATGTGTTTCAATCAAGTTGTCTCTTACTCTGCTAATTTTCATTGGAAACAACACTGGCCAGTCCAATCTTTCCACATAAACAATTTACCCATTCCAGTTATTAGACCTAGAAATCTTCTCTGAACTGTTTCCACTGCATTTATATCCTTTCTTAAATGAAGTGACCAATATTGTACACAGTACCCCAGATGTGGTCTCAGCAGAACCCTGTATAGCTGAAGCATATGCTCCCTATGTTTGTGTTCAATCCCCACACGATAAATGATTACCTTCTGTTAGAACTCCTGTGTACTAACCACCTATGACTTATGCATGAAGAGACGCAGATCCCTCTGCATTCAGAACCCTGCAAACTTTAACCATTCTTATACTCTTCACACCAAAATGGACAATTTCACATTTTCCTACTTTATAATGCATTTCCAGATCTTTTGCCCACTCATTTAATTTACCTTTGGAGCCTTTTATATCCTCTTCACAATTTACTCTCCTAAATAACATTGTATCATCAGCAAACTTTACAAGCATATCTTTAGATCCTCCATCCAAAGGATAAATTGTAAAATGTTGAGGTCCCAGCACCAACCCTTCAGACACATCAGTCACTACATCTCTCCAATCAAAAATATACATATTTATGTTTACTCTCTGTTTCCTGTTAGCTAGCTAACCAGTCATTATCCATGCCCCTACATCATAAGCTTTTATTTTCTCTATAAACTTTGATGTGCAACTTTATCAAATGCTTTATCAAATGCTTGTTGGAAAGTACCATACATCCACCTCTTCCCCTTTATCCACAACATGTGTTACTTTCTCAAGAATTCCAATAAATTGTTTAAATATGATTAACTGCCTGAAAACCATGAGCTTTTCTAAGTACCCTGTTATAATGTCTTTAACAATAGCTTTTAATATCTTCCCTATGACAGATGTTAAGCCTACTGTCTTGTAGTTTCCTGCTTTCTGTCTCCGTCTTTTTTGGCCAAAGGTGTCATATTCACCATTTTTCAATCTAATGCAGTCTTCCCTGAATCTAGGGAATTTTGGAAAATTGAAACCAACTAAAATTAAAACTATCAACTGTCTTACCAGCTATTTCTTTTAAGACCCAAGGATGAAGTCCATCCAGAGACTTGTTGGCCCTCAGTACCAACAATATTTGCTCAGAAACACTTCCTTGATGATTATCATTTTCTTGACTTCATCCTACCCTTTTATTTCCTGATTTTCAGCTATTTCTGGAATGGCTACTTGTATCCTCTATAGTGAAGACCAATGCAAAATTCCCTCCTCCTCTGACCTGCCATCTCCTTATTTACTATTATTAAGCCTGACTCACTTTCTACATGACTAACACCTCCATTCTCAGCTTTTTAAATTATCTGTAACAACTCTTGTTAAGTTTTTATGTTTCTAACTCCTTTGTGTAATTATATAGTTTTTCGTGAAGTTTGTTATAAGATTTAACTTTCATAATTAATGGCAAGTCCTCTACTTAGAAATTTATTTCTCTTTGGGATGTATCTCTTCTGTGTATTTGAATGTGGATTATCAGTCAGGATATATATCCAAACCATAAATTCTTTGGTTTGATTTCATGACCAGTCAATCTCTTTATTCTTTCAGGGGATGTGGGTGTCACTGGCAGGGTCAGCAATTGTCCTTGAAGGCAGTTAAGGATCATAATGCATTGCTGAAAGTAGCAAATGTACGCCAGACCAGGCAAGGATGGCAGATTTCCTTCTATAAAGTACATTAATGAACAAGATTGGTTTTTTTTGAAAGTTGATGATAGTTGTCATAGCCGAGACCAAATTGATCTTCTGGAGTTATTCACTGAATTTAAGCTTTATCAGCTGATGAGGTGGGAGTTGAACCCATGTCTCTACAGCAACAACTTGAATCTCTAGATTACTATTCCAGTTGCAATACTACTAAGCCACCAACTCCTGAACTGAGAAGACGATAGCAACATTCTGTATTTGTATGAAAGCTCAACATCTGACAATTAACTTTTCTTGAATCCAACATGCAAACATCTTCAATCTTCCATCTTTCTGTCTTTCTTTTATTGATTATCTCATTCTTTCCAAGTTCTATAAATTTTTCTGCATTTTGTATTTTCAATTTTGCAATACGACTGAATAAAAATCTTACATCCTATCTGAAGGCTTCTTCCACAGCACCTACCAAGATCTGCTGATTTACCACTAAGAAAGACAAAGGTATTAGACACCAGCATCTCTAAGTTCTCCTTCAAGTTACATACCATCTTGATTTGGTAACATATCATTGTTCCTTCACTGGATCAAAATCATGAAAATTGTTACCTAAAAGGGTTGTGGGTGCATCTGCAATGCATGTACAGCTGTGTTTCAAAAAGGTTTCTCACTACCATTATCTCAACCTCATGACTGAAAATAAAATGCAACAGTAATTGCTTAGTTTATATTACAAATTAGTAAGAATCGTGGCTATGTTCTTTAAGGACTTTTTGGAATAGCTCTGCGTTGTAATAAAATGAATCACCAGTCCAGTTAATTGTATACTAGTAATGTGGGAAGTGACAAGCTGAGAAAGAGCTGATGTGGCTGACAACAGGCTAAAACATGTTATCATCTCCATCTTGAATTACAGTTACTGCAACTTTCTCTTTTTGTCGAGAATGCACATCAGTCTTTCTGCTAACCAAAGCTTTTTTCTGAGACAACAAGGTGCAGGGCTGGATGAACTCAGCAGGCCAAGCAGCATCATAGGAGCAGAGAGGCTTTTTTCTGGATTTCTTTTGGCTTAATCTTCATACTTGTCAAGATGAAGGACATCAGAATTAGGCAATGGAACATCTTGTACCTTCTGATTTTATTCTAGACTGGTACAATACAGAATAAACATGTCAGAGTGACATACGTTTTGTGTTTCATTTTTCAATTAACAGTATATTAGTGAATTGGTTTTCAGTCAGCCTTCATTTTCTGAATGCCACCTTTATTCATTTCTTATTGAATTACTACATTCTTCCTACGCAATAACGATAACTCAGTGATAGATCATTACCTCAAATACCATTCTTTATCTCATTCTTTGTTATTCGCACATTCTTGTCTTGAATTGGCAATTGTTAATTTTCACAACCCATTCAATTTAATTCATTACTACACCTGTTGTATGTCAATCATGCGTCTTTCCTGCTTTGATATATTCTGTTGCCACAATTCCTGTCAGCATAAACTGATCTTTTTTCCTGTCCTGATTTATGTTTTCATTGTATATTAAGGCTGAAACATTAATTTTTTATTGCTCTATGCTATATACATGTCATTCATTCATTCACTGGCAGTCCCTCACAGATAACGATGACTCTCTTCCACCTCTCAGGCTGAGTCTGTCGGTGGCTGTACAGACCGATGCAGCTACTGCAGGCTCTGTTACACTTGGGCAGAAGATGGTCGCGGGAAGGGGTGGGTGGGGCATTGGTGTGACAGCGCGCTCCTTTTGTTGTTTTTGCCTGGCCTCCACTTTTTCCCAATGGCATGTCTCAAGGTGCTTGATGCCTTCCCCAGTTCTCCTCCCCATCTTTGGACGGTCTTGGGTCAGTGATTCCCAGGTGTCTGTGGGAATGCCGCACCTCGCCAGTGAGGCCTTGAGGGTATCCCTGAAGCGCTTCCTCCGTCCACCTGGGGCTTGCTTGCATTTCGAAGCTGAGAGTAGAGCACCTGCTTGGGGAGTCTCGTGTTGGTCATATGGAACCAATAATAGCTGATCGAGGGTGGTCAGCACTTTGGAGCTGGGGATGTTGACCTGGCTGAGGATGCTGGTATTGTTGCGTCTTTCTTCCCAGCAGATTCACAGGCTGTTATGCAGGTATTGTTGGTAGTGCTGCTCAAGTATCTTGAGGTGTCTGCTGTAGACAGTCCACATCTCAGAGCCACATAGGCCTAGCGACGGTCAGGAAAAGGTTTGTGAGGAGTCAGATGGCTTGTTGCTATGTTGTAAACACAATGCATGCCTTCAGTTTTCCCATTGCCAGCCACACATTAGCCATACAGTTGGTAACTGCAAATGGACAGGAGTTGCATCCAGCTGAACCAATACCAATTTTCAGCTGCAGTGTCATTTTTACAGATTTGAAGGCCAATAACATTTGAAGTGCTTATCTCATGCAGGCAGACACATTATTTACATCTTAATTTGGGAATGAAGATGTAATCAACATCATTTCTTGATGTTTGGGCATGCAGAACCTAATTCCTAAATGAAACTTATGTGATTTGGGACCAGTAATGCGAGGGGATCAGTTACGGTGTCAGCTAGTTTCAAAGAATCTGGAAAACATCCCATAATTTGCAATTTCTTTTCAGAAAAAAAAAACTGGCTGTGTTTCTTTTCTATGTTTTTGTTTTACTGGCATTAGTTTGCCCTGAATCCTGGGGCTATGTTTGTCTTCTCCTCTCCAGCACAATTATTGGCACACATTGGGCTCTCTGCTTCAAATCTCTCCCCTAAAGCAGCTCTGGAGGATGGTGACGAGATGGAATAAAAGTTGTGGAATGAGAACGGCCAAGGAAATTTGCACAAGGGGGTGATCTGTTGCCCATCTTT